CAAAGCCGAAACTAAGTAGTCCTAGCTATGAATACCATATTCGGGACTTTCCAAGCAGACTTCCATCATCCGATAATCATCCCCATATGCATCGATCTGTTGGACTTATCATGGGTTTGCACCGCATTTAACCGGTTAGCATTCCTTGTACTTCCCTGGCCTACAAGGTTGTACAATGCACCAAATCTTTCAGGTTCTGGTTTATTGCTGATCCTTGGTACACCAATGGGTTACAGGTATTTTTTCTGATGCGGATGATAGTAACGTAATACAAGATTAAATTCGAAAATCGTCATCTGTAGAATTCGAACTCTCAACTTGCTACTTGGTGGGGTGACAACTAGACCACTTCACTAAGCCACAACACCCTTCTAATTAATTCATAATATAGTTATATTTGAGAATAATCTAAAGTATCAATATAATTACATTGAAAATGGTCTAACATATATAAGACAAGATTATATAGAATAATCTTAAGTATCAATTAATTATATTGAAAATAGTCTAATATACATTTACATAAGACAAGATTACATACTTTGTAATTCAATTATAAATTGATCATTATATTTATCATTATATTTATCATCATATTTATCATTATATTTGTACACGTATAAAGAGATTATATATTTTTTTTATATTTACCTTTTGCTTCATTCATATTTTTTTTCTATTCATCTTTCGCTTTGATTTATAATTTTCTTTTTCCTAGTTCACTTTTCGCTTTATTATTTTTTCACTTTTATAAATACATTGTCATACTTTTTAGATCATATTCATTTATATAAATAAATCATCATGAGCTGAAGAACTGAAGATATAACTTGTCCCACTATTGCTAATATCTATATGCACATAAGTAACCTTGCAGAGGTTACTTCAGAACTTTCCACTAACATACAAGAATTAATCATAAAGCTTTTTGAATTTCAAATAAATCAAGAAAAAGCAAACACTGAGTTCTTAACTATATTAAATAAGATTCAGAATCAAATTAAAAAACTTGAAAATTCTAAATATAGTACTGAACTAGATCATAAACTTAGCCAAATAGCAAATACTATCGGTGAAAAAATTACCAAAGATGTAGAAGTAATAGCTAGTGATATGACTGGATTTGTGAATGAAGTTGTTAATAAAGCTTTTGATAAAGTAATGAGTGAAATTAACAAAAGTACAGAAAAAGTTTTAAACGAAGTTGAAGATGACAATAACGATTATATTGATAAAGACGCTGAAGAGGTCTTTGATTGTACAGAAGATGGCCGACCAGCAAAACGAAACAAAAAAAAATCTTATTACCTTCCAGTTTTGAGAGAATGAATTTATATAAAAATTAATCAGCATTTAGACTAAGCAAAAAATAAACAAAAAAGAAAATCCAGTATTGCTAAGGATATTGGACGTGAATATGTCTATAATCTAGAAGAAACTCCTGCGGCACCCATAATAGAGATATCACTGAAGAATATATAAAATTTTTCTTGTAAGAATTGAAGAAAAATCTAAAAACTTGTATACTAATTCATTTAGTCTTACCTTGCTAGATTTACTATTATTGTTTTCGAATTAGTATAATAAGAAAATTTGTAAATCATATGAATTTTGCATATTACCATTGTTTTTACAATAGTAATATACAGGATTCATACAATTCACAAATTCTCTTATCATGCTAATATATTAATTTTTATGCATTTTTTTTTTATTTTTTATTTATTTATTTTTTTAGCTGAAGGAGAAATATGAACAGCATCAGCTATTCGAAAAATATGTATTGCATATGTTATCTATTTGTATAAGCAACATCTTTTGTTAAATAGTAACCCAAGTAAATTGCAAGAAAATATTATTGCACTTTGTCATAGCCAACACCACTATAGAGTAAGTATTTTTTTATTAATGTTTTTTTTTTATTCACTATAAATATAATAATACTACATTATTATTAATAATTTAATTTTAGAAATCAGTTGCTCAAACTGAAAAGGTATTGGAGCTTACTTTTTCACATCCTTTTAAGGATATTCTCAAAATTCTTCAAATTGATTGTACTTCTCCTGAAATAAGTGAAGATAAAGCTGAAGCATCGCCTAAAAAGCATGAAAGAAAAAAGTTGTATATTCCCGAAATGGCTTTTAGATTTGAAGAGGTAATCTGTATTGTTATTCTTTTATATATTTGTACTATGTAGTATTTGAATTGTGGTTGGTTATGTTAAAATTACCAATCATTACTTACTATTTTATGTACACTCCCCTGACAAAAGTCACCGGCTTTTCACTAATTACAAAGATCTAACCTAATTAGTTGATGATCATAGCTTCATATAAAGTATTATTTTTTATATGCAAATTAGTCTTTGCATAGTAAGTAAAGTTGTTTACTATGATGATTTGTATACAATTTGAAAATTTTAAAAAAATTTTGGTAAATTTCTTTTGTTATTTTTAGCATTTTAGATGTTA